GTGAGTAGTATTGCTTTTCTGTAATAATGGCCATATAAAATTACTTTTTTTTTGGGGGGGGGGATAATTAGATTTAGTGGTCATTAAACATATAGCAATACTACAGTACAAGTCCCATTGTGTCATGTTTCCTACTAATGTCCCTAGGGACCTTTTAAAGTTAACTACTAAAGATGGTGGTGATCAGAAAGATGAAGCAATACAATGGTTTAATAAGGTCTTTCCACAAACACAGCTGCCATCTTGGCCTAAAGAGTTTAAACCTGTGAGTTATTGATAATGCTTGTGATAGATGCACTTGACTTCAAGCATAAATGACTAGTCATACATGAAGCTTCATAAAATTCTAGAATTGCATAGTTGTTTGCACAATTATCATGGCAATCGAAGATACGTCAACAGTTGTATTCAAAGGCTTACTAGAAAAGACATTTGTTTCATCAACATATGGCTATGATATATTTGCAGTCCATGAAATATTTATTAGTCTTGCGGCAAATATTTTTATATACATCGAATTGTTATTGATTTTCATAATATTTACTATGTATGACACAATAAATTAATGCTTAAATAATATCTTGAAAGCAAAAGAATTATTATAATCATTTTTGTCCTTGTACCTTAGGCCTCGACAGCGTATTAAATATTCTTTTGAATTTGTAGGAATGTGAGCAATGCAAACATTGATATGAATAGTCTCACATTTGTCAAATTCAAAAGAATAATTAACTTGCTATCGAGGCCTAAGTGCAACTGAAAAGTTGTATTTGCATGGATTATCATATCATTATAAATAAAAGTTGTACTATATTTAAGGCATCTTTTTGACATCACTGACCTTCTTTAAGGAGTTGTTGTTTGATTTTCTTCCAGATTGAGATTCTTCAGGGTCCAGGTGAGACAGTGTTCGTACCAGGCGGATGGTGGCATGTTGTAGTCAACTTAGACACAACAATTGCTGTAACACAGAACTTCTGCTCAGTGACTAACTTCCCTATTGTGTGGCACAAGACTGTCAGGTATGATCAGGGGAGAAATGAAATGATGAAATGAATAGTTGGAAATATATGAAATAAGTGTAAAGATATAAATTAGAAATATTAACAGTATTATCTAATTTTGCTAATTTTT